GGAAGGAGGAAGGAGGAAGGAGGAGGCCTGGCAGAGGAGCGGGCGCGAGGCGCCCCCCCCGCGGGGCCCGCGGCAGGGCGGCGGCGTCGCCCCGGAGAAGGGAGGGAGGGGAGCGCGCAGGACGAGGCTCTCCCTCGCTTTCCCCCTCCTCCTCCTCCTCCTCTCCTCCCTCCTCCCCATCCACCTCCCCCATCCTCCTCCTCCTATAATCTCCATCATCCTCCCTCCTCCTCCTAGCCACGCCTCTCCTCTATCATCTACACCCGCTAACACTCCCTCATCCTCCTCCTGCTCCTCCTTCCTCCACCTCTCATCCCTCCCCCTCCCCCTTCCCCCTCCCCCCTCCCCCCCCCTCCCCCGCCTTCCTCTCGGGCTCTCCCAAGCTTCCCCCCCTTCTCCCTCTCAGCCTCCTCCTCCTCCTCCTCCTCCTCCTCCTCCTCCCGACGAGGGGCTCCCGTCGAGGGCCTCCCTGCAGTGGGGGCCCGTGCTTGCGATGCTGCTTTTGGCCTCTTGGCCAGCAGGGAGGGTTTCGAGCGCCAGTGAGGTGCATCGAGGCTGGAGGGTGTGCGCGTGCGTCGGGCCGTGCGAGGCGGTGCGCGTTCAGCATGGACCCATGCCAAGAAGCACCCTGCTTGCCTCCAGGGTCTCTTGGGTTTCGATGGCTTCGCGATGGCAACGACGGCGTTCCTACGCCGAAAATCAACGGACGATCTGGGGTCTCGGGGCTGGGTTTCTGGTGGAGGGCTTCTTGTGGATCGGCCCCCACTGTATGTACTTCAATCTGCTTGCACAATGTCTCATCATCGTCGGAGCCATCCCCAACCCCACTGGGGCAGGGTAAGTCGTAGGCTCTCCCAGCGTACTCCCGTCTGGGTGGGGATGGGCGCCCTCTGAAACCCGAAGGAGCCGGTGCCCATCCCCACCTAGTGGTGGAGACCCATGCCAAGGATTTCTTGGGTCTCGATGGTTCTGATACGGACTGTGTGGCGTGCCCACACCAAAATCCCGTGGACGTCCTGGGGTTCCAAGGTGGGGTTTCTTGCATAGTCGGGCCCCTGCTGTACGGTAGGTTCGCGTCGTGTCGACCGGCGGCGACCCCGCCGCCGGCGTTCAACGTCGAACGCCGCTGGCGACCCAGAACTGACAATTTTTAATTTTTCGCCCAAAACCCTCCTGCAGCTTGGCATCGCTTGGACGTGTGCATTTTTCCTGCGGCGAGGACCATCGAGGAGCATCCTTGATCATTTGGCGAAAAAAAAACACCCACGAAACCGACAAAAAGCACAGGGAATGGACGTCCGAGCGATAGCCAGGCAGGGGGACGCGCCCGACTGAGCGCCAGGATCGACGCGACGCGCACCTGCCGTTGGGGGGAGGGTCGATTGGCCCGGCGGGGCCGAGGTTTCCCGCCGTTGGGGGTGGGGACTCTGCTCCTTCGGGAGCCTCGAGACGGGGATCAATGCAAACGGGGGTCAGCCACGGCGCCGGATCCTGCAGGATCCTGCGAGGACCCCCTCTGGCTGACCCGGGTTAACGAGCCGCTCGTGGCCGCGAGGCGGCCGCGCGCATGTTGGCTGACCCGGTTTTGCGAAGACCTGCGTTGCAGCTTTTTTTTCTTGCATTGCAGCTTTTGGTTTCTTGCTGACCCGGGTCTGGATTTGACCCGGGTCAGAAGACCCCCGACTCCTGTCGTCCAGGAGTGCACACTGCTCATTTTTCGAATTCTTCGCGAGCTTTTTGCTGTCTTTGGGGGGCCAGGATCCTGGGCCTCTCTTCCCGGCCTCTCCCTAGTTCTGGCCTCCTCCTGGGCCGCTTCTGGCCTTTTCCTGGCCAGGATCCTGTGAGTTCTGGATCCTTTCTTTTCTGATTCTTCCATCCGGGGCCTCTTCCTGGCCACTGGGGGGCCAGGAGCAGTTAGGAACGAGCACGATTAGCTGGGCATCGCTCGGACGTGTGCACTTTTCCTCGGCGGGGACTATTAAGGAGCATCCTGGCTCATCCCTCGAAAAAAAAACACCCACGAAACCGACAAAAAGCAAAGGGAATGGACGTCCGAGAGATGGCCAGTCAGAAATGAGCACGATTAGAAAATGAACGACGCGTATTTCACGAGGGAAAAAACACACAGACACAATTAATCGTCGATTCCAAAGAAAATATGGGAAATTATGGGAAGTGGGGGGGAAGACAGAAACCCAGAACACATGGGACAATATGGGGTATTATTTTATTTGTGTGTATTTATTTGTGTGTCCTGGGGGCCCTTCAGTATTGTTCGGGCCCGGCCCGGCGTGGGCCTCTCGGAGGAGGACGCGTCGTACTGGCACGTGAAGTCGGGCACGCCCCCTCTGCAGGAGCAGCAGTCCGCGATAGGAGGAACAAAAACAATCTGGGAACGGTTTCTTCTGACTATTTCCGAATCTTTTGAGGTCTTTCTGGATCTTCCTGGAAATTTCTGATTTCTGTCTGGATGTTTCTGGTTCCGCGTGGCTATTTCGGGAAACTTCTGATGTTCGTGGAGTGCTTATTTTCTGCTCGTCCGAAATCCGCCTGTTACAGCGGCATGCCCGACCTAATACCGGCATGTGTTTCTGCGCCCCCAGAGGATTTGGACGCCGGAAATGGGCACGGGAAGGATGGGTACAATGCCCAACAACAAGTGTTGTCCCAAACCAACAGCGGTCGCTGTTGGGCAGGCGGCCCTCTGTATCAAGTGGACACAGGCCGCGGCGGCGTGGACAGCGAGTTCTGCTCAGAATGAACAGGAACTGCTGCTGGGCATTGTACCCATTCTTTCCGTACCCGTTCCCTCCGTGCCGATCCTCAAGGAAGTGGGCCCCCCAGATCTAGGCCTCCTCGATGGGGTCGGAGTAGATGGGGTCGGAGGATCGCTGCGCATCGCCGATGCATCGGCGATGCGGGTCGATGTGAAGCCCGATTTGCTCCACGTCGGCATCGCCGATGCATCGCCGACGTCGACGCTGCGTCGCCAGGGCATCCCCGATGCATCGCCGATACATCGCCGATGCATCGTCGATGTATCGGCGATGCGGCGCGATCCTTCGACCCCATCTACTCCGACCCCATCTAGGAGGCCTCTACCAGAGCCCCCCAGAGCCCCCTAAGACGACCCCCAGACGTGCAACACCTCCTCGAGCATCGATCCTGGAGCCTCGACTCCTCCCCGGGAGGAGCGGCGACAGAGGCACGGCCTCGAGGGAAATCGCGGCTGTTGGGCACGGTACCCATTCTTTCCGTACCCACGTCGGGCGTCCAGACCCCTGTGCTTTTTGTCGGTTTCGTGGGTGCGTTTTTTCTTTTCGAGGGATGTTCCAGGATGCTCCTTCGTAATCCCCGCCGAAAACACAGTGCACACGTCCGAGCGATGCCAAGCTAATCGTGCTCGTTCCTGACTGTTCCTGGCCCCCTAGTGGCCAGGAAGAGGCCCCGGTTGGAAGAATCAGAAACGAAAGGATCCAGAACTCCCAGGATCCTGGCCAGGAAGAGGCCAGAGAGAGGCCCAGGAGGAGGCCCAGGAGGAGGCCCAGGGGCGCTGCCTCACAGGACCCACGCACGCACCTCATCGGCGCGCGGCCCTCCTGCAGCTCGCCCGCCCAGGGCTCGCCGGGGACTGGCCTCGTCCTCCTCCCTCGACTCCGCGTCCTCCCTCTCCTCCTCCTCCTCCCCCTCCTCCTCCTCCCCTCCTCCCTCGACTCCTCCTCCCCTCCTCCCTCGACTTTTCCTCCTCCTCCTCCTCCTCCTCAACTCCTCCTCCTCCTCCTCCTCCTCCTCAACTCCTCCTCCTCCTCCTCCTCCTCTTCCTCCTCCTCCTCGTCCTCCTCCTCCTGCTTCTCCTCCTCCTCCTCCCCCCCGGAATAGCGAGAGCCCTTCCAAGACCCTCACCCTTCCCGGAGGGTTTTCGGAGGGTTCCGGGAGGGGATCGGCTGTTTTGGAAAGACACCAGCCTCTAGCGAACCCTGGACTTTCTAACCCTGCAGTCGGGCCGCCGAACATTGAGCCCTTCTCGTTGGGGACGGGCTCAGTGCTCCTCAATGGTGTTACAGTTTCTCTCGGGCGTTCCTTAGGGTCTCGATGGGGAATGTGATCCTAACTCATGGAGGAAAATGGGCCTCGTTCCTGATGTCGGGTGCCTTGTGACAGCGCTTCGACTGCATCGGCCGAGAAGGCAGGTGGCCGAGCAAACACATCGGTGACCGAAAGCGTGCCCGAAGCTGTAGCTGACAGAGTAGTGCCACCGAGCCTGTGACCGAAACTTACGTCGCCTCGGTTTTGAATCGAGATTTTCGGCCACGCTCTGGCGCTCTAGCGCGTTCGGAAAATTCAGGGCGCCGGTTTCGGTCACTCGGCTTAAGTCGGGCCTGTCCCTCTACAGGGGAAGTGTTCAGAAATAGTCAAACAATAGTCAGGGGACGATTTCTTGATCATTTTATGATTACTTTTGAGAATTTTTGAGTGCTCAGCATTTTTCCTCGAACATCGGCCGGTAGGGGGACAGGCCCGACATAACACTCGAGAAGGTTTCGATCCACCCCCCACCGGACAGAGACCAGGCGCTGCTCCGGAGAGAGGGGTCGGGGCCTCCGGGGCCGCGTCGTATGGATGAGATCACGCCGCTGGATGTCTGACAAGGGAAGAAAGGCCCTGAGAGGCTCGATACACCTCGTCCTCCTCCAACCCCTCCTCCTCCAACTCCCCTTTTTCTTTCTCCTTCTCCTCCCTCTCCTGCTCCTCCTCCTGCTCCTCCTCCTCGTCCTCCTCCAACCCCTCCTCCTCCTCCTCCTCCTCCTCCTCCTCCTCCTCCTCCTCCTCCTCTCCTCCTCCTCTCCTCTCCCTCCTCCCCGACGAAGACGACGACGACGACGACGACGACGACGACGACGACGACGACGACGACGACGACGACGACGACGACGACGACGACGACGACGACGACGACGACGACGACGACGACGACGACGACGACGACGATCGTTTCGGCGGATTCCGGGGAACCTGGAACCAGCAGGAGGAAAACGAGGCGCTGCCCCCGAGGAGTGCTCAGCAGCCTCCTCGCCCAGCGGGCCCTCGCTGCCAGCGCGGCCCGTCGTTTCAAGACCGGGGAGGGTCGCCACCGCTCAGGCCTAGGACTGGAGTCGGCCGGGGGTCTGAGGTGGCCCAGCTCTGGTTCCCGCCAGCAGAAGGGGGGGGGGCGGGTGAAAAGCGGGCCTGTCTTTAGGAGGAGTATTCAAAAATAGTTTAAAAAATAGCCCGGGGACGATTTGTTCAATCATTTGTTGGGGGGGCAATGTTTGGGCATTTTTTCATTTTTCGTACCAGATCCCCCTGTAGCAGGACAGGCCCGACTTACGGCCAGGTTTGAGGGCAAGGGTTCGACGGAGGGGCTTACCTTTTTCGATCTCCGAGGGTCGTTTCCGGGCCTCGGGACTGTCAACAGCGGATCTTCTGTGGAACACACTACCACGTGGTGAGCGTTTTTTTGGGGTCATTTCTTTGCCGATCGGCGCGGGCCCTCGCATTCCCCCCCCCGTGAAGTAGATCTTGGCTGTTTGAGGCGCCTGTTTCGAGCGGGTGGAGTCTCCCCCATAGGACGCACTGCTCCAAAGAGTCGCATTGAGCAGAGGTCGAAACGTCCCCCTCCCCCCCCCCGCTTCCGCCCAGTGTCGAAACGCCGAATAAAAAAACACGTTCGCATGGTTTCTGGCAGGGGTCCAGGGACAGATTTGGAGCGAACGTGCCTCGTCCCCCCCCCCCCTCTTGACCGACTTCCTCAGGGCCCAGCCCGCCCAGACCCCCCAGCCGCCTCCCAGTCGAGAGCGCCCCTCGCCACGGTCGCCACGGGAGTACGGCACATGGTGCCACAGCTCGTTCGATGCACGTTGTGCATAGGGGGTCGAAGAATGGCATGAACATCAAAACTCGGAGGTCCGCTCGGATTTCTCGGATCCGCGCTGGAGCCCCCTGGCGGCGCCTTCAGCGCCGCCCCTGGCGCGCTTCGCGTGCCAGGATGGGAAGTCCAGCGCCGGTCCGGGAAATCCGTGCGGACCTCCGAGTTGTTATGTTTATGTCATTCTCGTTTCCCTAGTTCAGGCTTCCTCAGGAGGATGCCCATCGTCCATAGTACATGGAAGGACTCCATGAATCTTAAGAACTATGGAGCTTTTCGAAGCAGTTCGGTGCAAGATACCCGCCGCGCTCGATGCACGTTGGTCCGAGCAGACGGGGGCAGAGGATCGTGCCGCAGCGCTGATGCACTGGCTGCGCGGCTCGACGTGGAACTCGATTTTCTCCGCGCCGACGTCGCCGATGTGCCGCCGACGCTGCCGATGCATCGCCGTGGCATCGCCGATGCGTCGCCGATGCATCTCCGCTGCATCGGCGGTGCAGCGGGATCCTTCGACCCTTTCTGCTCGGACTCTACTCGGGAGGCCTCTCAGTTGGCAGCTGGCTGCTCGGCGCGGCCTGCCCTCGGAGCTTAAGGTGGCCTGCTTGCGCCGCGGCGCCCTCACCGCCCGGCCCGTCTCCGCGGGGGGGGAGGGGACGGGCGGCTCCTGCGGGGCAGTGTCGGCACACCTCCTCGAGTTCCTCTCGGCCTCCCGCCAGAGTTGTCATCCACAGCTCTCTCGAGGTTTGCAGAGCTGCTGTGTGCACTCGAGCCTCTCCTTCAGTCCCACCGCTCTCGATGCGCTGCTGCCCTGCAGCCGCCTTCTGGCCCGCAGTGCCGCTGAGCACCGTGAAGCGCCAGGAACGCCCGCCCCTGGGTGCGCGCGGAAGGGACGAGAACGCAGCCTCTTCGAGCTGCGCTCCCCGTTCCCAGTCGCATCACTACACCCGTCGTTCTTGTGAGTTGCCGCCGTGGTAGTTCGGAG